GCCCCCACGGCTGAAAGGGCGAGCTTGTTTGGTGTGACAAGGATTCGAACCCGCGACCCTCAGATTGCGAGTCGAGTGCCTTAACCACCTGGCCATGCCGGGCCATAGATTCAATAGACTGATTCCCAAGAATCTAGTAGAATTATTTTTTTGCTTACAAAGAAAAAGTAGCTCTTGTTTTGTTACTATAAATAAATAGTCACTCTTCTCAACTCGAAACCAAAGTTGTCTCTTCCATTTTTTATGTCAAGATTAACAACTTTGGAAATGGATTTTTAAGAATTATTCGCAAATAATGACTCTAAATAGCTACATATAACCACTTGAGGGCGGTGCGTCCTAATGGTTAATGTAGTGGACTTGTAATCAAAAGGTTGCGGGTTCGAAGTTTACCCGCGCCTTGTCGTTATGCCCTTGAGAAAGACACTTTTCCAAAAACTTGCTTCAGTCTACCCAGCCGTAAAAGGAGTATCAACTAATTGGTGGGGGTTAACCTGCTGTGGGCTGGCATCCCCTAGAGGATCAATGTGAGAACGTTCCCATCCATTTGTGCCACAGCAAACCTGAATTAATCACCGGCCTTGTGTGCCTTTAAATCAAGGCAAGGTTTTAACTTTAATTAACTCACGAATTTCCTTGTGTTCATTTCACATGTTTCAAATCAAATGTTGTTTTTATCTTGTATTTTTACGGTATGAAAGCATGCTTATCTTTCTCTCTTCAATTTACTCGCTGATTTTTTTAAGCCTTTGGTGTTGTTATTTATGCAGTACGAAATAGGTCCACTGGCATCTCATACTTCAGAATCATATTATTTAATTCATGATAAACTAGCCACTAAATAACTACGATTTTCATTTTGTTTTATTAAATTATTCTCTAAGAACCTAAAATATAACCCTTAGTTAAACTTTACTTGTATTATCATATTGTTGCGTCATCGAGGTCACGTGACTGGTGTGGCGCCCTCTATTTTCTAGAACTATCTTGTTTTTTCATGAATGCTCTAGTATTTACAAGCTAGGGTAGGCGGGTATATAAAAGAGGGGATTGTAATGTGTGTATAGATAGTGAGTAATTGAACTGCAGTCAGAGAGCACGAGAGATGTTACAGCGTTTGTTTAGCGCGATTGTTGTAAGTTGAGTGTATTGGTAAAGTTATATTACGGAAATAATAAAACCTAGTTTTTAACAAAGAAAGTAAACTT